ACTTTTATTTACATACAATTTTGATTGTTAATGATATTAAACAAAAGAAATGATTCTTGTGAACATGGAATAATCAGGTTTAATTTTTAGTCTGTATGATAGAAGCTATAAAAGATCAAATGATATTTATATTTAAACTTGGATTAATTTACTATTTATATTGACACATTTAAAATAAGATAACTATTCCATTATATTCTATATTTGATATATTCAGTCACGTAAAATAGGACTTGATATTCATTTTTTTTCTTTTAATTGTTAAAGTTGAAAATATTAATGACAGTAATGAAGGTAATATTATTCAAAATAGATTCACAGGAAGATGATAGTATATGTATTATATTCATAAAAGCAAATACTTCATTGATAAAGTTCAGATATATTCTTATGTAATAATAATATGATTAATGCTAATGAACAATCATGAACTAACTTTCACAAATATCTCAATAATTCAAGGTAGTTGTTCCTATACAACATTGAAACTTTCCACTTAGACTAATTTTGATGTATGTTATATATATATATTTGAAGAAAAAGAGAAAAATTGGTTGTTAAAGTGTAGAATAATCAACTTTTTTTATAATTTGGTACTTTCTTGAGATTATCTAACTGATTTTGTATAAAATGTTGTATTTTTGATCGAATACTTACCTTATCAACTTCTATATGAACTTGGAAATTAGAGTAGGTAGTTAAAATAATTTTAACAAATGTATTGCTAATTACTTATCAGGTAATTCAATAATTTGCATATCATCATTGATAAGTTCACTTCATTTATGTTATTATATTCAAATTATGTACATTATATAATATATATGAAGTTCATAACAACTGTAAATGTAAGAACTATTTTATAATATGTTTATCTGCTTTTTTTAAGCAAAGATGGATAGTGGCTAACAGTGGGATCGAGGACGCACGCCACTTCGTTCTATTTTGGACTCGCCAAATGGATGTGCTGCATCCCAGAGTTGATGTTCACTCCGGGACTCGAGCCCACTACCGTTCGCTTCAAACGACTTAGCGTTACCCACTTACCCACTAAGTCGTGATAGCCACCTGCTTGTGCAATGGGATGAAGTTTAAATTCACTTGATATTGTTTTACTTGTATGTTCCCACTGTTATTTAGCACTGCAAATTGATCAGTCTCATGTTGGCATATGTACATCCTGTGCGGATGCCTCGATATAGCCTCAAGTCACAAGCTATTTTTAAGCAAAGATGGACGAGTCCCAAATAGGACGAAACGGGCGTCCTGAATCCCACTGTTAGCCACTACCCATTTTTGCTTAAAAAACGTTTATGCCTTAAGGCTATATCGGGGCATCCGCACAGGATGCACATATACCAATATGAGACTGATCAATTTGCAGTGCTGAATAACAGTGGGAACATACAATTAAAACAACACCAAGTGAATGTATATCTGCTTCTTTCATTTCCAATATATTTTTAATGATTATTCAATTAACTATTATTCAGTAGTGATCAAATTGTTAGATAGTTTTTGATGTGTGGGCGAGAATGATAATGATTGTTTGTCTGCTTAGTCGGACATGTAGATAGTCTGAAAGCTGTTAGATGAGTTATATATTCCCCTACCCTTACTATTATTAGAACTCATTTATTTTTAATTGTTCATTGTTGTTGGATTGTGTCGGGTTTTTGTGTGGAAATATATTTACGTTGTGGTCAGGCTAATCACATGTTCTTGATCTGAGTTGTGTTGATATCCTGTAGAATAGACATTGGGAGGGAATCTTGTGTAGATATTCGTTTAAGGTAAATTAACGTCTCATACGTGTAAACGTGTAAACTCAGCCGTTATAATATTAAACAAAGTAAAACCGAGCATTATAACAGTTTTAATTTAAATTTAATCATAATGTGAATAAGTAGTGAAATGAAAATTTAATAAATGCTATGAAAGAAGTATCACTGAAATAATTTTAGATTGATTTTATGGAATAAGGTATAATCAAATATTTAACTTAAACGAAATTGAACTTGACAATCTCTCTCTACTTAGCGGGGCTGGGACACGTCGGAATAGCTAGCTTATCGGTCGTTATATCACAGAGTTTTCATTCCGTTCTCAGATAAGGTGAAGTGATAACCACTTCAAACATAACACATTTATTAAGTAAACTTTCTAAAAGTAAAAGAAAAGCGATGTTGGAATAAAGTCACTTTAACTTCCACATTGTCATAGCAATAGAGGCTTATTTTAGAATCAGTAATCGGCACCTACATCATAGATGCTATAAATAAATTAATTTAAGAAAGTTTCATAGACACTTTAAATCAAATATCATTATATCCTCATACAGAATAAGAAATAAGCCACAAAATGTTACCTTCATTCTATTATAAGCTTATCATTGTAATTGTCTATTAAACAATCTACAGCATAGAATCATCATCCAGAAGAGAAAATGTGTTAAAATCATCTATTCACAAACTACAATGTGGGTATTTCAAATTTCTTGATTATTCACCAATTATGAACCATATTTTGAAATAGTCATTTTAACTTACTGCACTGAAATGCTTTATGGTCACAAAATAATACGCGATGAATCCTTACTATTGTATCTGTTTCGAAGCCAAGTAAATAAAAAAATCCTTATTATTTATAAGATTATAAGAGAATATCAAATTAAAAGAAACGTTTCCAGATGACCTTTTAGTGGTCCGAAATCTAACTCCAGGCAGATCGATTCTGATGGAGGGTCATATAAAAAAACACGATTAATAAGCGAATAAATGACAGGGTAAAAGCATGAACCAAGAAGAACGAATAAACTGGCTTGTTCGGAAGGTATAACAAGCTATGTGGGCTTGATATAGAAACGGACACTATAACTTTGTCGTCATAAAAAAAACCTAATTGGTTACATTAGAAACTGTCATCAATAACATAAAGATATAAAACGCACATGACATAAGTCTGAAACTTATCACATAAAGTGTTGAAGAACAAACATTTTTTGCAGGTATATAAGATGAAAGCTAGTAATCATTCTGGATACATGAATCCTACGTTCAATTAAATGAAAACTGACATTTAACATATTCCTGCTAATAATTATTTGCATACAAATAGTTACATTGACGTTGTATATATTTCTCTTGGAAGAAACTAAACGTTTCATTAAACTGAATAATAACACAATTAGTCTTGTTAAACAATATGAAAAATATAGCAGTAAGTACTGTTATCATGATAGAGTTATTACTCAGTGGAAAATGTATAAACAATAATCCATAAAAAATGAATAATATTTTATAATCATTGATTATAACCTAATTATTATTCACTAATATAGTACAGTTACGTATATTAATCTAACAAATATGTGATGATCAACTGAGGTGTTGTAAAAACATGATCAAGTGGTCGACATCTCTGCGATGGCGATAATTTTAGAAAAAAATGGAATTCATTAATTGATGACACTCAATATCTCTTTTATTAACTTGATTAAACAACTAGAGATGTTCTTCCATTATTGAATAATTAATCATCCATTCTCAATTAATCAGAGTAATATGGTCAAACTTACCAGCTAACAATTTAACTTCATACTATAATATGTTTTAACGTAGTTCAATTAATTGAATTATTTTTACTGGTTAGTGCTGGAAGTGTATAGGACACAAATAGAGGAAAGTACCCAGATACATCATAAGGCAAGCCATCACACGAAATCCTCAAGGTCCAAGGAGAACAGGAAGATCATAGAATACATTACGCTGAGAAATGGAGAGAGACATGAGAAGAATGAACAACAATTGGATAGAATTAGAAAAGAAGGCCCAGGACAGAGCGGGTTGGAGATTGCTGGTCAGAGGCCTATGCTCCACTGAGAGTAACAGACGTAAGTAAGTAATTGAGTGATTTCAATGAAGGTCAGTACTCGAGTCTAGGATATGCGTTTTATTCTATTTAGGATTCGTCGATTGATTGTACTTATATATCAGTGTTTATTCCCGCACTGAGATGTGAATTCAGTACATGTTGTTTCAAACATTAGTGAATGAGTCTCAGTGTCAACATTAGGACTGTAATTCAGTAAAAATGGTCTGAAATTTGAAAAAGAACTTAACAAGAACATGGTCGTCAATCATGATAATAATTTTATTGTATTCAACTTAACGTGTGAAGAATAAACTGACTTTATAAACTGTACAACTCACGTTGTCATTCTTACCTTTAAGCCAACAAAATATAGGTCATTTTCATGGTGTATATGATTCTTCAATCAATCAATTATAGAATTTAGTCATCTACCTTATGTCAACTATCGTAAAAATCCTGGCAACAATTGTTTCCTAGTTCGAATAAGTTTACTAGCTAATACAATTCAGTTCTTCAGTATTTTGTATTAAAACTGTATCCTAACAATGGTATATTGGGTAGTAGTTTTTACTGAATTCTCTTTATTTTTATTCAATGACACAATTGGTTATGTTAATTCTAAAAAAGTCAACGGATTATTATTAAACAAACATTGTGAAATAGAACATACAACATCTAATTAATCAAGTCAGTGTAAATTTGTTAGAATTCATTACTTTAATTGAATTTCCACTTTTAACGAATTCTTAAAAAAAATAAATAGTATTATCGATTTCATCATAAATTTAAGAAAATCTCTCTCATTATTATCATCATTATTATTACTATTATTATTATTATTACTATTATTATTATTTGTATTATTATTACCATTATTATTATTATTATAAAACTACTCTTGTTGTGAACTTGTTCTCAGTTTTATTTATTACCTCAAAACTTTAGGGTTTATGATACTTTTATGATACACTATCATATACTCATTTACAAAAAAAAAAGAAATTTTTATGTATAACCCTTCAATGTTATATTAGAAGATAAACATATAAGAACAATATGTGTCTATATTTCCAATTAATTGAGTTAAAAGTGTAAACAAACAATTTTTTTCAATATGTAAATAAATAGTTGTGTTCAATGGAAGACCAATAAACTTAAGGTCAAAAGCATCTGAACAATTGTTGATTACTATATTCTTTATATGTATATTAAGTAAATTGAATCTAGTAGAAGACCAACAAAGATACTGTTATATCATTGACAAAATAAATAACATTTTAGTAAAACACTATTAATAAAGAATTATTCTCGTCACAAAATCATAAACCATTGACAGAATAATAACAAATGTTTCGGTGTACTCAAATTAATGGTAAGTATTTTTCAATTACTTAATTAAATCCATTGGTACTGATAATGAGATTCATACTGCATTAATTCTGTGGATATTTTTTTTATCATATCATGATAAGATGTAATTCTTAGAGTTTTAGTGAATTGTAACCAGTTAAGTTTAATCCATGTTGGGTATGAAATAGCCATCCACTGTAGTCAACGGATCATGTTTCAACAATATCGTGAGTTGATTGAAGTGAGATATTTACAGAGTCGGATACTTGCTTAGTGATTTTTAGGTTAAACATTCTCGTGCGAGATCGAAGGTTCTGAACTAGATTCTTGCGTGTGATTTCTTTTAATTGAAAATAAACGTAAACGGAATAACTTTAATGATAAGTCACATGAATGTGATCTTGACAGTATTTTTCTATTTGTGAGTAGTTTTCATTACGGATTCATGTCATTCGAAGAACTATTGAAAGCCTGCGTATTTTTTATCAAATTACGGGAGAATCTTCATAAGTACACACTACTAAATCTACAAGGAATTTAATCAATTATTATCTAGTTTTATTAAACACTAAACCATTTTTAACCTTATCGATACTGGATAATATTTTATTTACAACTTATTTAAACTTAAATGTTAATATAAAAATGTTTGTTATTGATGACGAAATATATTTTAAGTTTAAAACTGCTATCTAATTGGAATAATTATTATATACGTGAGTAAGCTGTTTGTTTAATTTTTGGTCAAGGTCATGAACCGATTAATGTTAGGTGGTTTCATACTATTGTGGTACTCCTCAGTGGTGAACATCCATGATCCAACTTGCGGGATTCGAACCCAGGGCCTTCGGTCTATGCACGTGAACGCTTAAACTCTACACTACTGAGCCGAGATTCAACGGTTTTAATATCTAACCTCAACCAACCCACGAAAATGTTTGACCATCTTCCATTGTACTGAGGTAGAAGGCTGCCTCTGCCCATACGGATTAGCTGTACTGGTCACGGCCTCTCACTAGAACTCCGAGAATTTCTTTACAAAGCTAGTCACTAGTGAACACATGGTAATTATCAGTATGAGTTGTGAAGATTATGAATTTTTTGATTGAGATCTTTAACAGAGCACTGATAATTTTAAATAAAATTAAAAGTCACGAGTTAAACAAATCACTGTTTAAAGAAGATTAGATGTTAATTAAATTGCAGTTTCAAAATACATGAACTTATTGATAACTAATTGGTGAATAATCTAACCTTAATATCTTTAGGTGGTTTAGCTGTGCAATAAGTAATAGTGATATATACATATATATATAAGAATTTATGCTTGTTGGAGGATATTTTAAAATATATGTTAATTGGTAGGTCTTTTCTATTGCATATAATAAATATTATTGTGATACTTACGTCATTTAAATTGATAGAAATAAGTCATTAAATAGTTGGTGATCATTCATTGACTACCATTTTAGATTGTAAAAGTTTCAATAAAGATATGATTTCATTTATATACAAACCTATTTTATGAAACGATATTAAAATCAAAATGATTGTAAACATATTATTACTCAAAACCTATGTAAAAGTGTAATGATCAGTTTGAAAGTTCGAATACCATCGAATAAAGAATCAAATACACAAAATTTGGCTTGCAGTTCTTAATACGCAAATCGGTACGACTAAAAAGAATCTAGCAACAATGTACAGGGAATAAATTATATACTTACAACAATGTTTATTTTAAAAGAAGGTTTTTAGAAACCCTTAATTCATAATCTTACAACAATAAAATCGATTCAATAATGTTCCTTTTTTATGAGAACGACACTATATACAAATGGCTATTTCTGACAACCTAGATGAAGAAATTTTAATCGTAGATAGAAATTCACTGGTCACTATTACTCAAAATAATTTGTTTTACGATAAGTTACAACTGGTATGGTTTTATTATTTTCCTTACTTTGATACTTTCTTCTTGAAATCCATAATATTAAATGACTTGAAACTATATCTATTCGATAAATGTCAAGGATATGATGATTTGGAACGATTTACAGAATAAATTACCATCATCAGAGATATCACTTAAGTTCATATCATATTAAACAAATGTTTTGTAAGGCCGAAGGATGATCCTAACAACTGGCAACATTCAATAATCGTCAAAATAGTAAACACTGATAAATTTGTTTTAAATTATAAATATCCACTTGTTATCATTGAACCTTTAAATTTGATTTTTAGTTAATCCTATAAAAAAAATTAGTGATCATGTTTTTCAATGATTGATTTTATGTTGACCAGATAAAAATGCATTTAGTCATAACACGTTTGTAGTTGAAGAATATACGATTATTATAAATTATCTCTTGTTTTCAAAAAGTAGTACATTTTACATGAGATAAACTTGAAACTTTTCGCATAAAGATATGTGTCATCAACTATTCTTTCAACTAACATCAAGTGAAATTTAACGCAAGCATTTGGTTATTCAGGAATAATATTAGCTGTCATCTGGAAACTTCTCTTATTTTTGAGTAGTAATATAGATTACGTCAAATAAGATAAAATATTTCTGTATATTGAAATATATTGTTTATATATGGTATTTTATTATCAGGTATAAACAATGCAGTGAAGTTATTTGGATTATGCTCTGTATGTATATGGACTTTATTTATCATTTCAAAACACATTATTCATAATCAACCTGAATTAACACAACCAATTGATAAATTAGAAGAAATTCCGAAATTATCTACTGATGCTGATTTACGCAATCTACCGTTGATATTTATTGGAGGTCATCAAAGTTCAGGTAAGTAATTTTATTATAATACTAGTTATATTTTTTAAATGGTAACACCATACATATCACGTTTACTGGTGTGGTGAAGTTAGATTACCACTATATTTAGTATGACATTCATTTACGAGTAGTGTTATTGCCCTTACTTACTAAAACCTAGTAATTTACACCCTATCTTTAAGAAAGAAACACTAATTGATAATTTAAAAAGTATGAGGAATGATGGAGTATGTGCTTATAGTGCCAACAGTTGTTTTTTCATTTAAGTATTAAAAAATGTGTTTACTATTTGATTAGTTTTGGAAACATTCGTTTAGTTAGATTGTAAATGGTAGTTAAACATTAGAAATCTACTACATTCGACCCTAAGAAACGAAATCAGTTAATTTATAAACATTTAAAACAATTGTAAAAGTTTGTTAAGCTCAAATTTTAAATACATGAGCACCGGAAGTCACCACTACACTTAAATCATTCAAGTTAATCGTGTCTGTTTTAGCACGAAGACCTTTTTCTAAACTGACATTTAGGAATAAATTCACTGTTTATCCAATTTACTACTTATAAACGTCATATCTTATCAGTGACTGACGGTGAATATAATACTTCTAGAAGAATTTGTATTTTAAGCATAATGAGTTAAGTAGCAGTTAATTAGCTCAGATGTGGTTTTCTTCGTCTGAATCACAGTAATATTGACATTTTATATTCATTTCTTTTCATTAACTCAAACCGAGACCGAATGTTTCAGTGTTACCAATATAGCTCTAGGAAATGGAATTCTCCAGATTATCTTATTTGCGTTAACTGGCACGAGTATTTTAATGCCATAAGTGACTAATGATAAAAATATCTATTATTATAATAAATTCCGGGAATCACTGCAGACTTCCCATCAATTTACAGATATGATCAGGTTGATACAACAGAAATAACACTAAAGACATGAGAGTAGATTATTTGAACGGACGTTAGTAAAGTATTTTGACTGAATATTTTCGACAGAGTTGTTAATAATATTCAGTATGTGATGCATAAATGATGCATAATCAGAGGTGAAAGAAATTTCAATAACAGTTATGAATTTTGTAATCATAGTATTAACAGCAATAAACAGCGTAAAATAAACTACGGGGATTTAAAAAAGTGAAATATCTTGAACATTATGTATGTTTTTGTTTAGTAAATGTTTGATTTTTCGTTTGGAAAGAACATTATATAATTTCATTCCTAAAGTCCAGATTGATTTTCCCATTACTTTTGTGTTTAATAGTTAATGAGACTCATTATTACTGTTTAGGACTCCAATGCATAAAGAGACTATAAAATGCGTTCTGTTTTCTGAAGAGAACTTTGTTTAATAAAGTAGCATTTACATTTAAGGTCAGGTAGTATGTTGTGTGCTACTGATGTCGATAGATATATGTAGTATGTATCATCAGTCGAAAGTGAAATACCTGGTGGCAGAAACTTAATAAGATCGAAGACAAGAGAACGAGAACAGAGAATGATTGCTGTGGAAATGAAGGAACAGTCATGTCTGAGACGACTGACTAATATCTTGCAAATGAAATATTTACTGTTTAGTTCTCAGATTTTACTAAGAGATTCTGTAACTTTGTGTTCAAATACATTCGATTGTCCCCACTTGTACTCTCGTTCACCACAGTAGAACAAAGTATTATACTCAAATAAGTAGTGACTTTTTCGTTATTCTAATGAATGATTTTTTTCAGTAGACCTCAGAATCTATGTAGGCAATTTAAAAATAATAGGTTCCTGAAATTAATATAATTTGATATGAAGATAGATATTGGCTAGCAGTAGAATCCAGAATGTGAGTTTCACTTTGTTTGAGATTTATCAGCTGTATGTACCCACACTCTTGCTAATTTTTACTCCACGAATCGAACCCAGTACCTTCAATCTTAAAAACTGACACGTTACCCACTGAACTATCGAGTCCAAATATCGACTAAATTGTGTAATTGGAATAGATATTATTATTTTATTTGTAAGTGTTTGAATCTTCCCACTTTTAATATTGATTGCCAAATTTTGACCAGTACTAGATTTGAGTCTTGGAGTGAACACCAACACTGGGATACAGGTACATCCAAATGATGAGTTTCAAATGGAAGGTAACGCGCGTCCCGGATTCTGTTGTTGGCCACTATTCATCTTAAAATATTTGTGAGTTAGTGGTGCTATTAAGGTAATTCGCTCGGGATGTAGATATTCTAAAACTGACTGATAAAAATCCAGTCCCTAATATTAACAACGGGACGATTCAAAAACCTATAGACAGATGATAATAAATATAATTCAGTTGGTGAAATTGATAAAACAATGAAATTAATTTCTCACTATACATGTCATTTAGCTTGTTATCAATTATGTTAACACTTACAAAACTAAAAGTATTCTTCATCCATGAATAAACTTTTCTAAACAAAATCCTTTTATGCAAATTGTCGAGGCATACTATATTAATCAATTATTTGGATTATACGGCTCATACTTACCTTAGAAAATGTTTGGGTTTTTATGTTAATCGACATGAACATTCTGCCATCTGTTTAGGCTAAAATTTATCTGCTATAACTACAATTAGTTAATTGTACAAAAATTTATTTTCAACTATTAACTTAGAGTTATCCATATGATATTAGTAATGTAAACGCTTAACTTTGAACTAAAACTGTAAATCCTACGTATCGATATGTTATAAATTAATTTATTCGTAATGTTTAAATTTCACTGATTGTTTGCTAACCTTGTATTATGTTTAATTTTACATACTATCATAGCTTATTATTTGGGAGAACATCAAAGATAAGATAAATGTTCCTTGACCACATCGATAGCTAAGAGTGAAAATATTTTCTAAGTTTTTTTTCTAAACTCTATAAGATCTTCTTGAAGTAAACTTTTAGTATGCCTGCAAATTTGATGAAAAATTTTGCTTTCTCAGCTATTTAGTATAACTTTATGTCATTTAATAGTTATCCTATGAACAACAGATGAATTTTATCCTGAAATTTTGATTAGCTAAGTTGTATTTCATACACAATTTAATGAATATTCAAGCAATTAACTGGAAGTTTGTACTAAGAAATACATAGTCACATTACCAGTCAAACAAAACTGATACTTCAAAGAAGTTTTTGTGTTATTATTTTACTAACTCCAAGTTCAATGACCTTATAACATTGTATGCATATCTAGTCTAATTCTCTCCACTCGAGAAATCCAGAAATCGATTACGAGACAAATTGGGATCGATTTTTATTAGGAGTAAATAAACCCAACGGATCACACGTTAGTGATCACACCAAATGTGTAGTGTTGTTTGAATATCAGTCAAAATGCATATATTTGCAGTGAATTGTTGTTTGACTGCGTTTACAACCAGTAAATGAACTGAGGAATTGGTTAGTAAAAATAAAAACGGCCCCATACATATGAGTATGTGCATAATTATTAAATGGTTGAATTACAGTGAGATTAATGTAAATATATTGACCTTCGTTTGACCTAATTTTATCAGTTCTCTTGCAAACAGGTTATGTGTGAAGCGTAATACAAGTTCGATTAGAATGATATATTTATCGGTTAAAACATATGGAGTGAACTAAAGTTAAACTTTAATAGTTTCTGTTCAGCAAGCCAAAAAAGAGACTTGGTTAGAACGCTTTTCCATCGTGTCAGATTTTGTTCAAAAGAAAGCACTGATGAGGAATGAGCCACTGTTGAACGTTGTACATGAGATAATGTTTGCTCTCAAGTATGGGAAGACTAAAGAGGAAGAAATGGAGCATCCTATGGTTGAGAAGCTTCAAGGGTGATGAAATAGTTATAAAGATTGATTTCGCATTAAAAACTTTAACAAAAAGGATGAATCTAGCTGTCAAGTTGATCTTTCCATATCAAACAAGTCACTCACTAAAACGGCCATATGTCGACAAATTTCCGGCCTAAAAAGACTTAGACCGAATTTATTCATCCGAAAGAATTCAGTTATCAATCTTGTTTTACCATCACCTATAATTTTTTTGTTGTGGAACTTTCCTCATGACAATGATCATTTATTTTCATTCGTATCTGATCTTTACTCAGTTAGTTAATTTTGTTTCAATGATTACATGACAATAACATTATTTCACTTTTAAATAATTTTGATGCTTTACTCGTAGTTTTTTTATTCTAGAATATTCTTATATTCAACCTATAAATATTCAAATCATTTACCATATAAATAACTATTGTAGTTCTTCCATACTTATTTCTCTTTGCATTGATCTACACTGACGAGAACGTTTCTGATATTATTGTGTCAAGTATGTTAGCTGATTTTTATTGATTAATACTATTATGCTTATATTGCAAGCAGCTGATGAGAACTCGTGTTATTCTGTTACGTCGATTGTTCTTTCTTTGGTCAAATTGAACATAAATCATTGAAATAACTAAGCTTTTTATAATAATTCTTCTGGCACGTTTATATTATCGCTTATTCTTTTCACCTTAATTATTAGGTACTGGATTATTACGTGTTCTGCTGGATGTTCATCCAATGGTTCGATGTGGTCCAGAACCAGTAGTTACAAGAGAAATATTAAAACTCAGGCCGAAGGATCGAAACCGTCAGGACCGGCTTTCACAATCTGGTGTCACACAAAGTGTACTTGATAATGCTATTGCTGGTTTCATTGTATCAATACTGAAGAATATGGGACCACCTGCTGATAGATTATGTCATAAAGATCCTTCATCTTACATATATCTAAGGTATTTAAGTGAATTATTTCCGAAAGCTAAGTTCATTCATGCAGTACGTGATGGAAGAGGAGCTATAATGTCTACAATAATGTACGTTTAATCACTTGTGTATGCGCATATATAAACCGAACACATATCCATCATTACTGAAAAACGTGTAAACTAAGACACGTATATATATATATATATATAAATCAGGGGATTAAGTACTGTTACATTTTAATTGTAACTCAAGTGTTTATACACACGGGGTTCATCGAAATTTGTTGCTGAAGAATTATAATTCACAATGAATCAGGTCATAATATTCGTCGAGATTTGTTTTACTAGGACAGTTTTCTACAGTAACTTAATTGATAATGCTTTTTCTATGAGATTAATTCATCCAAGAATATAGTCTCTTGATCGCAAATATTTAGTTAAGGCGGAATGTTTCTGTAGAAATTTTTATGTAACTAGTTTTTCATTAAGATTTACAAGTTGTAATCTTTGACTGGTTAATAATTCATCTGTCAATAAATAATGAAGACGTGAACGTGTTAAAAATTATGAATATAGCTTGGTGTTATTTTTTTTTCAGCCGTAGAATAAATCCAACATATACTTCGGATAATATTCCTGAAGCACTTAACCAATGGACGGCCTATACATCAAAAATGATAGAAGACTGCCAACACATTGGAATTCATCGATGTATGACTGTACGTTATGAGTGTCTTGTCATAAAACCGAAGAGAGAGATTCAAAAAATCCTTAGTAAGATTCAACTTGACCACATGCTTATATGAATATTTTACAGATAACTATGATAAAAAATTACTTTGATTCACATGAACAAAAAGGTTTCATTAGAAAGGTGTGAAATAATAATAATAATGGATTTCCTTGTTTTAAGTCTGATAATGAGGGATGATTTCGATACTAAAATGAATTCTTTTCTTATATTTGATTCAATATGAGTTTTGTAATGAATTCTTTGATAATGTTATTTAGTCTAACCAAAAGACTAATTTCACCATAAAATGGCTTTGGTTACGAAATTTAACAGCTTATATACCTATAAGGGATTGAATCAGTACTGAAATATTTAAAAAGCACACACTTATAATTCGTTATCCTAATATATCAAACTTCATTAAGAAATAAAAATGAGAGGCTAATCTAACATAATCAACTACATCTTGATGTAAATATAGAATTTAATGTTTTATTTCACTGTCAGAGAAAAGGTTGTTATCTTTATAATTATACGTTTAAATCTAACGCTTCGATTTTTTTAAAGATTTTCTGGATCTTCCATGGGATGAAAAACTACTGAATCATGAAAAATATGTTCATGAAACTTCTATGATAAATAAGTAGGTTAATAATAATCTAAATTATGATCAAATAATTTCGTTATTAAACATCTGAATATTGTTGGTCTGTGCTCATTTATATGCAGTTTATTGCTGGAAATCAGAATTCGAAAAACCTAACAAAAGTAGTGTTAATGTAACTTTGTGTTATTATTTATATTAAGCTTTAAATTATAACTGATCGAAGAAAACGATATACATGACATTACTAACCAAACAAAATTAGGTGGGAGCAAATTTAAATCTTCATTCAACAGACAAATGTTAGTAGTAAGACAAAACAAAGATGTATATAACCGAACTCTAAAAAGAAGTCTGCTCGTTAATCTTTTTTGAATAAATTCTAAATCTTTAATCGACTATAATAAGCAAGCTTCGAAGCTTATCGACTACTCAATCACGTCAAATCAGTTAATTATTTATCTTAACTACACCTTTCACCGATCAAGGAGTACCTTGCGTAGACAACTGTTTATAAATATTTGTACATTTTTTGGTGATGGTTGTAGTAGTTCTCCACGTTTCAGCTCCGTATAGTAGGACTATCTGGACGTTCGTATTGAAGATTGTGACTTTGATATTGGTTGACTGATAGAAGTTTTGAGTTGCATATGTTTTACAACTGTGGGGATGCTGCCCTTCCATTGCCAATCCTCGCCTTTATATCTGCATCCGATCCTCCTTGTAGGTCGATGATGCTGTCCAAATACGTGAAATATTCCACTTGTTCCAGAGTTTCTCCATTGGGTGTGACTGGTTGGTGTTTTCTGCGTTGTATTTGAGGATCTTGCTCTTAATCTTGTGTATGTTGAGGCCAACTGGTGCAGAGGCTGTTGTTGTGTGTGGGATAAAAGGGCTAGATCATCTGTGAAGTTCAAATCGTCTGGTTGATTTCGAACTGTCCATTGAATTCCATGCCTTCCCTCAGATGGATTATGAAACTAGTTTATTTATAACCACTTGAACATGAGTCGACAACTGTCGGAATAGTTTTTTCTTCGCATAAGTGCTGCCGCACAACATTAGTTTACGTGTCTTAGTTAACATGCTTTTAAGTAATGATGGATATATGTTACGCTTACCTATGCACCTGTCAGCTGTCCTCTATGCACGATGTTTCAGCGTATTCCGTCATATGAACTCCGTATTACGTTGACGGTTCTCTCAGCTATTCACTTCCTAGTGTCGAAGAAGGTTCCATAAAGTTCTCCTATCCACTCTGCCAAACGCCTCATAGTCAAGAAAACTGATGATGTACAGTGACGAATTCTATTCAATTCATTTCTCAACAATGATCCTTAGTGTCGCGATGTCGTCTGTGCACGTCTATGCACACAATCCTTACGGAATCCGTCCTATTGATCTTGAAGTTGGGTGTCGACTGAATCTTTCATCCGGTTCAACAACATTCTGTTGAAAACTTTTCCTGGTACCCATATTATTGTGATACCTCTGTAGTCCTCACACTTACGCAGATCTCCTTTCTTTGGTATCTTGCTGAGGTATTCTTTTTTCCAGTCTATCGGCAGTTATTACTCCCCCAAAATCTTCGTGAATAGAACGTGGAGCATATGTGCAGTTATTTCTATATGCGACTTCAGTGCTTCAGCTGGTATGTTTTCACATCGTGTTGCTTTCCCACTCCTGATCGTCTTATGGACATCCTGATTTCTTCGATCGTTGGTGGGTTGACATCCACAGGAATGTATGTCTACTGCTTCGATGCTTGGTGGATTCAATGGAGCTGGCCTATTCAAGAGTTCCTCAAAGCGTTCCGGTCACCTATTCCTCTGTTTTTGAATCTCAGTTGTTGGATTTCCTTCTTTGTCTTTGAGTGGTCGTTCTGATTTACAAAATTTCTCTGCTAGTTTCTTCATTGTGTAACATAGTTGTCTCAATTTAAACATCATATCAGTGGATCACCGATAATTTGTGTTCACTAAACATTCAAGGCACTTATATTGTGATTTACCTGAAGTTGTTAGGATCAAGTTGATCTAGCTGCTCTGCTATGCTAACCATCTCCAGCGTACCAAAAGCCTTCATCTTTTGGATTGTTCAACACGATATTATGTGTACATTGATCACTTTCACTTGAATTTTGATGTGGAATGTTATCAAGGTAAATTATTAAACATATGCAACATAATGTCTTGCAAAACACACAAAGGCAATAATGACAGTAAAATATACGTGTCTTCGAACAGATAACTGTCTAGTCAGATAAAGCATATCTAGGGCTAATGACAAAGCTCTATTTTATTACTCTCCTCTTCTCCGGGAGCATTGGTAGCAAAAGTATTTCTTCGATACCCACATCATCATGTTGCATCCAATGCGTCTTAACACCCCTTTAATTAATTTGTAATATATATATATATATATATATATATATATATATATATATATATATATATAATAATTAGAGGACTATGAAGACAAATGACAGAAAACGAATAAATTACGGTTAGAAATGTCATCTGCTGTTTATTCACTCTATTTATTGAAATTCTACCGTACTAAGTGGATCATTACAATAATAATAACTTGATTTGTTCACAATACAACTTTTTATTTGAGAAACACGTAGAAAGAAGAGAAAGTGGAAACTTAGGTTTTTAGAATGGATTAATCTGTTATCAATTTTGTCATGAATTGACATTAGCTGAGACACCATTGAGAAAAAATGGCATCGGATGATTGTCGTGATAAATTTGAAACCCACAGTTTAAAAATAAAGGGATCACTGCAAGACTTAGAGTCAAAGCTCTGCACTCCTGAAGAATATCATATTAGAACCAAATATGCTCAGTTTCTTGGGTTTCAATTGCACCCTAAATTATATCCATCTGCGATCAAAACCTAACTACAAATAAAGCAAAACTTACCGGGATATTTAAAATCTGGAGGTATTTTGAACTAATGTGTGGAATCAGCTAGGGGACGACTGAAAGCCACAGAGCACTGCCGACTGCAGCCTAGTTTAGCACTCTTTATGCACTTATGTATTCAAAAGAACACAGAATATACATCTATTTTATATAGTCATACATGCAAGCTGACCTACATATCCACATCACATTCTGATGGTTCATATGAGAAAACTTGAACTAACTCTTAATACCTGAAATTAAACTAATAGTCAAGTGGCGATTCTTGATGACAAATTTCTCTGCATTGTATGATAGATATTTTCTTTTTTTACCTATCATTTCAGATACGAAGCCAGTTCAGTTCAATTTGTTAAGGCTATACACAAAGAATCTTTGTATGCTTGGTCTAAAAGTAATTCAATAATACCCAGAAATCTTATTACAACTATGCATCAGAATAATAGTCTATTAGCTAGACTTGGTTATACCAGTGGAAACATTCCTCCAGATTATGAAGAAGTGTGTGAAGTTGATTTAAAATTGTAAATAAGAAAACCCAATAGGAATATCTTATTTCTTTTGTTCATTTATTTATTAATGTCTGTAAATTATGCTTGTAACCATAAAGATTTATTTTCGATGTGTTTCTTGATAATGATTATTGGGCAATAATTCTACATGATTTGATAATGATATATAGGGTTATAACGTTCGCGAAATTTCAAATATACCATACTGGGAAACGTGGGATAAGTGTTAATTCAATTCAAACGACAAAATATACTAGCATTGTATACCAGCATTGAAATGAGTACGTTTAAGACTACAAATTGAAAATTTAATTGCAACTGACGTAAATCTTGAGATGATCAGATAAACGTATACAATAATATGACTATTTGTTTTTTCTTAGTGGTACAATTCAAGTAATTTACATGATAATCAGGTTCCAGTCAAACTGGAAATTGATTTTATTCGAATTAGCACCAGATGAAACCTCATACGGCGAAGCATTGTTTAAACTCTTTTTGGAACTTGGTGTTCATTAGTGGAATAGTAGAGTAGTGATAGCCATTTCAACGTTTACAAAATACGTCTACACTCCATTAAATGTATAATACCATCATTTAAATCACTATCCAATTCTACTGAAATCTACTTATCGTTTACCTTCGAAGGCCGAGAGCATTTAGTTATGAAACATGGAAATTAGCGACGAACAAAACGTTAATAAGTGATTTTTAGAGATTTTTATCATTAATCAGTCCCACCAACCATTAATCAATGTTCAAACAGTGCAAATGTTAACGTTTCCAAAGGTATAAAAAAGTGAAATACGTTCATATATACATGTATTATATGGGTTCATGGCTCCTACTAACAGCTGTTAAGAAATATGAGACAACTGCTTACAACCAACTAATATCTAAATCGCTGTTAATGTCCAGTAGAATTTGATATTTATGTATGAATGTTATTACATTTCAAAACACGCGAAAAGCATTTCTATCAATGTCTCAAATAGTACAACAAATAACATACGAGAAAATCGCTTTAAACAAATGGAATATTTTATTTTCAGGATTACGGAAACACATTAACTAAGCAAAATGAGTATGTCTGCCACATTCACATAGTATTTGTAAGTGTGGAGTTTAAAGTACAGGATTTTCGTGAGCAATGGTCGAAACATTTATCAGGAAAATAATTTAGCCAAAACGATAGACTAATTTAGCCTAAAAACAATGTCCAAAGCATCGAAAAGAGATGATGATTCGATTATAAAGGATGAAAAATCATATCATACATATGAGTATTAGATGACAGTGGGTTATAACGTATCCATTGATTTACGTCAATTGTATAATTTATGCACCTTGTAAAGTGAGTATTTGATGAAATTTCATGTACATTCATCGAAAAATTAGTAATCCAAGTTAAATAAATCAGTGATTTCTTAGACAGATGCCACGTTTTGTTTTGACCGCCACTAACTTCTCCCAACCTAAAAGTTGAAGAGCAAATATCGCGCACTGGTGGCTAGATATACATGATACATGTTTCAAACAACATAGTCGAAGGAGATTCAATCTTATCAACCGGTTTACATCATCGCCTAGTACACTGTGCCAAACTTCATCATTGGTTCCTTGATGGCCCCAACATACGTGAGCAATGCTTTAAAGACATCTACGAATATATTTAACATTTAAAAGCCATGTTCCACGGCCGTCAGCTAAAACAATTAAAAGGGAATTATCTTCATAAAAAAGTATATACCTAGTTAAATTTAACCATGATTTGTAAATAGGCAGAGAACAATCGAACTACAAGAACTCAGTGGAAATAGTTCAAATTTATTGAATTTGAAATTGCTTAGAATAATGTTTGGGGATGACAAAAACTTTAAATACATCGAACATAGGTCGTTAGATGAAAAGGAAGAACATTGGATAAAGAGCAAATACAAATGCAATAGGTTCTCACATTTTTGCTGATACAGCCTTTTAGAACTCAGTTTACGTAGAAAAAAGACCAAGAATACAGCTGGTTTACAAAGAATGAACAGAATGCAATTAAAAATACAATCATGTGAAAATGCTTAGTATTATGTCAAACTAAAGTCTGAGAACGCTAAACTCTTTCTTGAACAGATGTTATTTCTTTGACTCAGAATGACCCGTTATAGGGCTGAGACGAGCAACGTTTTCAAGCTGAGTACGTGTACTTGATATAACATCGGTAGTATCCGCCACTATAATGAAAATACACGTAAGAAAATTTTTAAAAATTTGAATCAAATTTCAAAGAATTGAAATATAGGATAATAATGAAAATACGGTAGATAATCGAAATTATTTCTCCATATATCAATAATATAGAACGATGTAAATCGATAGTAATTCATTTTAGTCAGTACACAAAGTTACTAGTAATTTAAATTAACTGTGAAGGTTCATTCGTACATATCCAATATGAGTAAAAAATTTAACCTTATCGCAGAATACATTCCAAAATGAAAGATGTAATTAGTATATTAGTTCACAACGATTTATAGGTTATCCCTTCCGTTTGTACACAGATAAATCGGTAAGTCTAATTACTAAAATTATGAACGCTTGACCTCATTCAATAGCACTGTCGACCAACAATATAAAATTATGGACAGATTAGTGGTTGAATAGGACCAAAATATTAGTGTAATAAATATTGTCTTAGTTATTAAATAAATGAACGGTGTAGTTGTTTCACCGATCTAAGTTATAAAGTAAAAAAAATGGTGGACGGTGATATATAAATCCCAACTTACAATTTTTCGTTACAATATCTACACTTTGTAATAACTGATGATATTTACGACGATAATATTTTATTTCACTTTTTAATTTTTCACGTTCGCCTGAACTAAGTGATGATTTTACTTCTAGTGGACATGTGTTTACATCATCTTTTCTGGTCAAGTTACATGCATTGTTTACACTTTCCGCGCCTAGGCATTGGATCCAATCGAGTAATTGACGAGAATCTCGTAAAATACTTTCAATAACATGATTATCAAACAGCTAAAAACAATTCCCCAAGAAAAATAATTAGGATATGCAAAAACATTACGAAGTGATAAAAAAATCAGGATACAAGTGTGAATTAAATGAAACACGAAAAGCCCAGTCGATTAAAGTGTCCAGTAATATGAAGGTAAACATTGATTAAAAAGACACGTTAACATAGAATCTAGTAAACATGTTAACATATAGAAGCTAAGTATAATTCTAAATTAAAAATTCAAGAAACAGGGATACGCGGATATTAGGTTGACAAAATCCGAATAAAGTGATGTATCTGATTTTTAGATTTTGCTATTAAGTGTTGGAAACTTGGGACATAACTATAATGGAGTTTTAAAGTTGTCATGCTGTATGGATTACATATGCAGCTGACTGAAGCAGAATTAACTTAAAAGAAAGTTCATACACATAGTTCCCTTTATTATCTTAAAGAGAGCAAGAACAAAGATTGGTGCAGAATAATATGAATTCATTTTATTTCGTTAGGTTCTCATCAGCTGCTTACAATCTAAATTATTTGAAATTCAAATTACTACAGATATTGACATATTTATACATAAGAGTGTGATTAAGGATCAGTATATGTGTATGATGATGTAGCAAAGATTCAGATAGAGTTAATGAGCTCATAAAATGTTTGATTCGAATAAATAAATAAAGTTAGAAAGGGAGTTCCAGAACATTGAAAAAGTGATTAGAACTCATGAAAATAGATTAATGGTAATAAAGAAAATATGAATTGAAATCAATCGCTTATGTATGATGTAATTTAAAAGAGTTGGAGTAATGACGCCATAAATAAAAAGAGAAATAAATGAATGAAAGGGGTTATTGTTACCAGGATAAAGAAAGATCTATTACTGTCTCTTTTTGTATACATAGATCTAGTTATAAACGTTTGATTGCTATTGCTTCAGCAAATTTCAAAAGGTTGGAGTTTGATTGTTTGTTAATCAACTTCATGTCCTGTATCAAGGATATGTCTTGTGATGGCACTGTTGAATGCGTTCAATCCATTTAACCTTAAACTTTTCGGAATATGTTCTTTGAATCGGACGTAAGCTCTCCTTTCTGTTCTGCCAACGTAACTGCTTTGGCAGATACATGTAAATATGTAAACACAGTTGGTGGTAACATGAAAGGGATACCTGTCGACTTTGGATTGTGTCAAAGAACATGTTGTTTTGGACAGGACAATCAATTTCGCTGCAGGATAAGTTCTTGTCAGTGCAGTTTTTAGTCTCATATTGATTGATCCTGTGACATCGTCACTTTTGAATTGAAGTTGATTAAAAATAGGCTTTTATTTGCTGTAATTTCTCTGGGTTTCTTATCTTAACGTTTGCCATATTTCTCAATAAATTTCAGTGGGTATCCGTTATTCTTTAAACATTTTTTAACATTCATAACTTCCTATTCTAGTGTATCGGAAGTACATATTCTTTCTGTTCTGTGAAAGTGTTTTGAGCAGTGCCTTTTTGTAACTGATTGGACAAAAGCTATTGAAACTGAGATAACTACCATTCCATGTGTCTTTCTAATAAACTGAACGTTGAACTTGTTTTCTTTTTCATGTTCCATAGTGAAATGGATATTTGGATGGGTTTCGTTGAAAAACTGTAGCAGATTTATTGCATGTTGTTGATTATTACATACGGTGGAGGTATCATCAACATACCTCGAATAATACATCATTTCATCAACCGTTCGTTTGAGTTTGGTTCTTTCGAGGTTAGCCATGAAAATATCTGCTAGGACAGGACCTAACGGACTTCCCATCGTTTGTATATGATATCATTGACCTGGAACTGAACATCTTTTGTACAAATGAGTAATAGTCGTTTGAATTCTGGTACTGGTAGAGATAGAATGTCAGAATGTTGACAAATTATGTCTATGGTTTGAAGAAGTGGTATTTTTGTAAACAATGATGTTACATCAAAAGAAACCATAAACTTGCCAGCAATATTTATGTGATTCATGCTGTCAGCAAATAAAAAGGAATCCTTTAGTGTATAGGTGGCTAATCGTTGACGCACTGGTTCTAACTTATCTGCCAACCATCGTGCAACTT